GTGTTTTTTGCTTGTTAAATTTTTAATGCCAGAAAAATGAATTTTTTGAGTGCAAAAAGGTCAAATAATTGAACATGCGGAGTAATTTGAAATTTTTTTCGTTGTCAAAAATTTTAATGTGTCTATTCAAGATGAAATAAGACTGTGTTTGGTCCAATAATTTATTTGAATAAAAGATACTGGAGGAAAAACTTTAAAAATTGATTATGTGTAAGACAGTGTAAAAAGGTCAAAGTAAATGATCTGTAGCACCAAAAGAAGCGCATTGACCCCCATTTTTTGTTTTGATTTTTAATTAAGCTATGTGTATAAATTCTAAAAATATACTTGATAAAAAATTCTCATTACTTTTGCTGGCAGAATCCAACCTCCTTAATGCTGTCTTCTTGTGTGCACAGTTTTATTGTAATCAGACAAAAACTGTTCGAGGAGTAGCATTTTGAAAGCATTTCACAGATATTTCTATTTTAAGGTATTAGAGGTGTAATACGCCATTTCCGGTAAAAATGACGGCATTTACCGAGGTGTCTGACATCGGCAGTTTTTGGAACACTGTACTTCGTAAACAAAAATGGCGTGTCGTCAAGACAGCCTAGAACGCTAACATAAAACATACACCAAAGAAAAGGAATATAACTTAGTGGAGGAGAGAATAAATATGATATTACATAGAAAACACGTTAATATATTTTGTTAGACAAAATATGCATTCAAAATGATGATACCTTCAAATGCACACTTCATGGGTTTTTCCAACTTCTAAAAATAGCACCATTTTCGAAGAACGAACGAAGTATACCTTTCTTCAAAACTTTACATTTGCATCGTGATTTCTTGTGATTCTCTCAATATCAGCAAACCATTTGAGGGGAAAAATGTACGTAATAGGTAGCATTGCGTGCATTGTAGAATCTGCAATTTATAAGGGACGTTCAATGTCCATACGTAAAATATCTGAGATGTTCAAAATATATCAGTAAAAAATAGAATGTAAATATGTTTACAACATTAAAGAAAAAAAATTAATATTAGATATGGGAATAAATGATTTATTCTGGGTTGGGTTAGGGTGATTTTTGTTATTTTATTTACATTAATTTATTTATTTATTTTTACATAAGTTTACTGTTTAGAAGGGGGGGGGGGGTGTGAATATTTTTTATTGACATTTTTTATATACATGTGGGGAACAAATTAGTTTTTGTTTTTTTTTTACCTTTTGATTAGTGTTTCTGTCAGTATATATTTTAGTCTACATTGTATAGTAATGTTTTGATCTGTAAAGAACTTCATGCACATGGTAGATGCACAGATGTAGGTCATTTTGCAAATCTTTGTCTGGGTCAAGGTCATTGTGACGAGATCAATCTTCTGAACAAATGAATCTGACTAAAGTGAAGTGTATTTAATATGACAATAACCTGTTGTTTATATATGCTCATCAGTTCATTAATTATCACAAATCCTATGACATTTACAAAAAATAATGGCTTAAATTTTTAGGGGTACATCGCTATGATACAGAATATAGATAAATATTGTGGATGGAATAAATTTTTGTTGTTGTTATATTATCACAAACACATCTTACACAAAATTGATATTGTTCTTTTATTGATCTTTCCTACCATATTTTTCTTTGACAGAATATTACAAACGTTTTATGAAAAAAAATCGCCAAAATTGTCACTCAAAGTAGACAAGTTCTCTCGATTACATGTATTCATATATCATACCTGATGAATTTGAACTAAAAAGAATGTATATATGCAATCTGTACTGCTTAGTGTTGCAGCTGAATACATGAAACATTCAACTCTTTGCGACTAACTAGAGTAGAGGTAAAAATTACATCTGTACCTTTTGTCTATTAAAGGTGCACCAGTGGTTAGAGGGTACAGGCATGAAAATAAGTATAGAAAAATTATGTTTGGACAGAATTGCATGAAACTTTGGGAAATATTGCCTGAAGTGTTGTCCATTATAACTAAACTGAATTTACTCATATTCAAGGTCATGACCCCTAATACCTTAAGTAACCATGGCAAATCAAAAACTTAAAAATTAAAGTATGTATCTTAGTGTAATTTACTTGTATAGAAAGACTGAAGTTATATTGAAATCGGACCAAAAGTGTAGTAGGAGTAATGTTTTAAAAGAATTTCACAGAAATTTCTATTTTTAGTAACCATTGCAACACCACTCATCTAAATCCCATGCACAGGGTTCGACTCGGGCTTTAGTCCGGCCGGACTAGTGCTTCTTTACTTTTACCAGTCCACACGCGATTTTGTGAGTCCGTCAAAAAAAAAATCAATGTTTTTTGTAACAGTTAATCTTAAAACCAGAAGTCTCTGACAAGACTGTTGCTCTACTGGTTGTACCTATTAAGGAAGATAAAAGTAGCACTTGGACTTGAAACTTTGAAACAACAATAAATAGAACAATGATCCTTGGTTTAGTCTCTTTTTGTGGCAAGATTTATTATTATATTAGACTAAAACTGTAGGAGGAGTAGCCTTTTAAAACAATTTTACAGAAATTTCGATTTCAGTAACCATGGCAACATCATTCAACAAAATCAAAAAACAATGACACCAATTATGTATTTCAGTGTAGTCTACTTGTATGCCACGTTATACTGAAATCAGACAAAAAGTGTAGGAGGAGTAGTGTTTTGAAAGTACTATAAGAAAATTTCTATTTTTAGTAACCATGGTAACACTCTTCACCGAAATCCAAAACTGGTACAAAGAATTATGTATCTTAGTATAGTTTACTTGTGGGCTAAGTAATACAGTGGCTTCCATTTTATCGGATAGCGGTTTAACGAATATTTCGGCTATTTCAATATAATATCAGAGCACAAAACCATTTCTTATATATTTATTAATAATTTCACCTGATATTCTGATGAGAAAATATTGGAGTTTCGTTTTATCCGATACAAAAATTTGGACTATCTTAGTGTTTATTGATAATCAGCACCTTGTTCACACCTCCAACTTCGTATATGAAGCCTTTGTTTACACAGTTTGACACCAATTACCTTGACTGGCTTGAGTACGACAATGAGGGGATTAGTTACGGCTCGACGCACACAGGCACCTTACCTGTGTCAATAGTGGGCATAGTAAATAGATATGTTTTGATTACAGTTGTGGTGATCAGCTTGGGTTCAATGATGCACTTGTTAATTATGACAATTATCTGCAATTTTTTCGGCGTGAAATTTTAATTATTGAACCGATTAGCTTGTGTATGACAATTTGCTTGGATAATGAAATAAGCCTATTCAATCATTTAACTTCGCCAATTGGCTTAATATTTATTCACTTTTCAGTGCAAAATTTATGGTAAAAATCACAAATGGTCCGTTCTATAAATATACGTCTCAAAATGCATACCATCTTTCTCCACATGGCTCTCAAAATCTCTCTTCAGCAGACAAGTACGAGATTGGTAATCTCACACACAGTAAAAATACGTAACCGTATTAAAGAAACAAATAAAAACGAAACAATTACATATATTTAATATTTTTGTTTATTTTTAATTTACAATCTATCCAGGGAAAAATAGTTTACGGTTATTAGTCAAGCATTTAGTCTACTTCCGTTTCCAAAATGGCGACCATCGAAGCAGGGATGTAAACATGTGCTGAAGAAAGATGGCAATAACTATCAAAGAATATATTCTATACGTCAATTTATTTGAAAAAAAATTTCATATTAAATTCATAAGTAAGTGAAATAAATTATTTTTAGTAAAGTCTTTAAGTAAACATGTCAAAAGAAAACGAAAGTGCAAGCTTGAAATTTGCTACGATGTATTATCAATACATGTAGCTCTATACATCTATCTTTGGACTCGGTATGGAGCAATCGGCTATTCTAATATTCAGCTATTCGGATAAAACTAGGCTGACAACTTGACTATTCGATAAAACAGGAACCACTGTACTAAAATCAGACCAAAACTATAGAAGGAGTAGCATTTTGAAGGTATTTCAAGGAAATTTCTATTTTTGACACCATGGCAACAATGTTCATCGAAATCAAAAATCGATAAAAAGAATTATGTATCTTAGTGTAGTCTACTTGTTGCCAAGTTATATTGAAATCGGACCAAAACTGTAGGAGGAGTAGCATTTTGAAAAATTGTTTACAGACGGACAGACAGACGAACGGATGACGGACACCTTACTATCGCATAAGCTCTTCTGGTCTCTGACCAGTAGAGATAATAAACATTGCAATGTACTTTTTATACTTTTTGAAATAATAAAACCTTTACGTGAAATGTTTTATTCCAAGATTAGTTGAAATCTCACGATCAGGAACTGTGATCATATTCCTGATCTCGTTTTCTCTATACATTATATCCAAACGTCCAAATCATGATCACTGAAATGTTTAATTTCATACCAATCAGTCCTACAATTAAGCTCCGAATTGACTCAGAATAACCTTACTTCTCGCCAAGAAGCTAGAAAGCTAAAAATACATGCTGGGTTTTCCAGTTGTCGAGAATTGAACATCAGTAATTTATTGATTTTTATTCCGTTCAGACTAATTAGTCACAGATTTTATTAGTCCGAATAAAAATGTATTAGTCTGAGACTAACGGACTGACGTTAATGTCAAACCCTCCATGCATCAAATTATGTATCTTAGTGCAGTCTACTTGTATGCCATGTTATACTGAAATCAAACCAAAACTGAAGGAGGAGTAGCATTTTAAAGGAATTTCACAGAAATTTCTTTTTTTAGTCACCATGGCAACACTGTTCATCAAAATAAATAACCCTGCATTAAATTTTGCATCTTAGTGTAGTCTACGTGTGTGCCAAGTTATATTGAAATCAAACCAAAATTGTAGGAGTAGCTTTTTGAAAAATTGTTTACAGATGGATGGACAGCTAGACAGTCAGACAGATGGACACCTTACTATCTCATAAGCTCTTCTGTTCTCTGATTTGTAGATCTATAATGACTCACTTGAACTTGTTTAGGAATGGGGACTCTGGTGTTGTGTAATTGGCAAGTATATGATTATAAGGTGGAAGACTCAAAGGTCTCTTGGCTTGCATTGCAATTTCCATTTGTGTGGTTGCATCCGTGCTTTCCAGAATAAAAGTTCTTGCAAATACAGCTGTCTGTAATAAAATATCAACATTGATCACATCAGCTTTATAAACCTTTGAAGATCTATCAACATTTTTTATTAATGAAACCATGTTCACAAAAAGGGGTCCATAATTAAGCAAACTGAGATACCTACAAATTATGAGACATCAGTATCAGATTATAGTGAAGTGGGCTTATTGTACTTCTGATATACGTTGTGAAACAAGATTTTCCATTGTCCCATGTAAGACCTAAATTTGGCATCAATACCCAATTAGCAAAAACTTTCATTTTTTCCAAATTTTGAAGGAATATGATACATCTTGGCTGCCTTCTTCTTTTGTTTTCCAATGAATAATCTTTTATGTTTATGTTGTTAATTTAAAATAAAGTTTTTTTGTCAGATCTGGACAGAACAAAATATTCTGTAACGTTACCTGTCAACAAATATAATATGCATTTTCACACCACTTTCTACAAAGAAGAAGGTAGGGTTTGGACTTAATTGCACCCTTAGAATTTAAATGTTTTCAAAGAGTTATGAAATTGGCTTAAATATAAGTTGAGTATATGAATGTGATAAATCATGAAAGAATATGGCATGAAGGAGGACAATTGTGGAAATATGACATCATTAATTTGGTACACTTCTAAGTTTTAAAAAGAAAAAGCCTCAAAATGACTCATTTAGGGGTTACTTCCCTTAGGAAAACAGTGTCCACAGCCATCGCACACTTCAATTTTTGGATATGTTGTGTAAAATCCATTGAAAAATCATATTTCTCAAAATTTTTGTGGGCGATGCATGTGCTCTTTATTATCTGTTAGAAAATTCCACTGAAAATTGATGTCTTCTGCAACTTTTTAAGAAAATACAGGAAAATACACAAGTTCATGATGTCACAATTAGCATTTAGGAGGTCTTATGAGAAAAACAATTTACAACTGCATGAAATTTCAATGATTCAAAAAGGATAAGTTTAATTTCTTACATCATTTTCATATTTTAGAAAAAAAAAAAACTGGGCCAGATCTGTATTGAAACCTTACCTTGTTCTTTGCATTGCACTGAACAGTTGTAATATCGTATAACAGGTATTTTTTTATGTGATGCTAATTTTTACTAATTTTGACGTGTTTTATAAATCTATAAAATTTAAACACATAAAATTTCACAGAAGTAAAAAAAAATGCCTTGCGTAGATTTTCAACATCGTATGTATGAGAGTAATGATTAATTGCCATTCAGCTCAGTCCCTAGAGGCTATGGAATTAGTAATGTTGGTATTTTTGAGCACTTTTAAGTTGACCATCAATTGGGATCATACAGGTAAATCTTAATAAACTTGCACAAGTTAAACAAACATGGTCAATTACCTGGTTACTCTTTTATTAGTATTTTTACGAGACGCATAATTTCTGATAATGACCTATATTTGATATTACAGGTCTTCCAATTATACCCGTTTTTTAAGTCTTTGACCCTTTCTTCTGTTTTATATGCTTCGAATAAAAACTGACTTTTTAATAATGTCAATTAAATCATGGTTTGAGTTGTCTCTCTTTGTTTCCAGTAAAATCAAGACAAGCACGTGGTGCGCAACAATAAGGAAACCTAGCAATTTGTATTTAAAAAAAGGAATAAATGAGGGGCATGTGGTATATAAACGTAAATAAACAAACATATTATCATTTATTGAATCTTTATCATGTGAACACTTTTTTTTTAACATCGGGTTGTCCAGACACATTGATCTGTATGTAAATGCATACAAATTGATCTGGAATTTTACCTCCGATGATTTAAATTTTTACGGACATGCTCAATTCGTAAAAATTTAACACGTAAAAATTTAGATCACCCTGTTTCAATCAAAATTCATAAAAATTTACAGCAGTAAAAAAAAACCCATTATACCATAGAATGGAAAGTTCATTCTTAACTTAAATTTGTGAATCAAAGTATTGAAAATCCAAACTCTATTTCTGCTAACATCATACTGGACATTATCACAGAGTTTCTTTAGTAAATACTAATCCATGAAGAAAATCAGTCAGCAAAGCCAGAAAAAAGTGGCAAGAGAGCTAGGTTTCACAGCATTTTTTTTCTACCCACTACTCTCCATACGAGTGAAAAATTCTCGAGAGGGAAGTTAAACAACATACAAACAAATCCACTGGGAAAGGGGCCAGTACTGATTTAATTGGGAAATCTAGCGTAAACAAATGAGAATTTTTATTTTATTCAAACCTCATTACCTATTAAAGAGGTACAACACACTGGGGGAGATAACTCTTGCAATTTCAATTAAACGTTTAACTTGACGTCAAATTTGACGTTTATAATAAAGCATCAAAATGATAACTGAATCGTTCCCGACGTAATTATAAGAAAATGGGATTAGGGGCATGATGTGGTTTCTTACGAAATACCAAATAGTATCCTTGATTATTTGCACTTTTGATTTAAAACCCGCCCCTCCTCCATAAAAAGGGAAGAAAAGAAAGATTATGTCTTAAATTTCTTTAATTTTGTATGAAACTGATCAATATTAGCACAACAATATTCTTTATCTTTTTATGATATATTGCTTTCTTTTTAATTGTTACAGTTGGCTATGTAACATTCGCATTACCAGATCACGAGCCTGTCTTCAAATTAAGAATTGGCCATATAAATACTGTTTTGTTCTCCTTTTAAGAAAAAATTTTTTCAACCCGTTTCCAAAAGTTCACTGATGAAAGAGGAACAACTCTAAAAATGTGGGAGATTTCCCCCTCCCCTAGTTGAGTTATTTCCTCCTGTTTGTCGAACAGTTATGAAGACACAATGAATTCTGATGAACTCAGGAGCTGAAAACTATAATATATACTAAGTAAGTATCGGAAATGTAACAGAATTGTTTACTGAAATGACCCGAATTCACGAATATCTTATATGCGACAAACTGGCCTTATCCGACCATCTAGATATACATGTACCACTGTCAACAATTTCAGTGCGCATTTCCTTGAATCAAAACAAAACGTTATATACATAAATGTATCACTGTACATGAATATTTTGACAGATGAATAATTTAAACATAGATGGAGAATTTACAGTTTGATAAATTGAAGCTAATGTAGACGAATACGAAATTTTCATTTTATCTATAGAAGCAACAGAAGGATGCATACAAGGGGGGGGGGGTTACTTTTAAACCCCTCTCTTGTTTGAAATAAATAAGAAACAATATATTCCATTTACCAGCCTGTTTACATAATAGAAGAGTTGAATTTTCAACATTGTGCATTCACTTGTAATGAAAAATAAGATTAAAATTCAATGTAAGTTGAATTCATACCCAGGTATAAAATTAAATGCATGTCAGCCATGTGTATAGACTATATACTGGACATGTGGACATAAAATCTTTAGAGAATAAGTTTTACTTTTATTCTAGTAGTTGATAGTTTAACTCTTATTCTAGTTGTCAGAATTTAAATCTGCATGAATGAATGAATTAATTGGTACTTCAGGGATTTAAAAGATTAATATATATCTCGAGGGTAACCTATGTTTCATCAAGCTCTAATGACTGCGTCCAAAAAAAAAAGGGGGGGGGCCTCGTTCAAAATTGCTTATACATCTGCATTTCAGTGAACTGAAAAGTTTTAAGAACTCTGATATATAACGTAAATAATTTTTTTAAAGCAAGTGATATTTTCTAGCTTGGAATTTTTCATGTGTATTTGTAGATCTAACAATGTTTTGTCTCATGTCTGAAAGACGCTTGAGAAACGTGACTTAAGGAGAAGGGGGGGGGGAGGGGGGGGAATGATTTTTCGCTATAAATTCAAAATGGTTCATTTAAAAAAATGCAAAAAATTATAAAGATTTCTTTTGTAACCAGTTACATGAAAAAAGTATTTTTTCCAAAATTAAACAATAGGTTTTTTCATAAAAAAAAATATCAAAATTGAAAAATAGGCATTTTTCAAAGCTTAAATGAAGCATTGTTTTTCAGTTTAAGTTCTTCAAAAAATATTTTGGCGAAGTGAACCTCTACAAAAATACTTTATTTGTGTGGATAATGGTTAAATGAATGAGTCGATGAAATTTGATAGCCAGACTAGCTGGATTTTTTTGAAAATCAAGGATTTTATAGCTAGCCAATTGAAAATTTATTCTCCGCGTGAACAACCAGAGGGTGGTAACTTTTGGAACTTCCTGTACAAATACGACTCGAACGATTTTGTTCAAAATATGCATATGCATTGTATATATAGTCATGTATAAAATATACAAAAATAGTGAAAATTCAACGACAGGAATTTTTTGGTGGTGGGTGTGTTGTACGTCCTTAATCCACATTTTACAAATTGAACAAGTATTCATTGTTTTACATATTAATTTCTCTTGTTTTCATGCTTTCAAGTTGTCATAAATATACTACACCAGGGTTCTTCTTAACTTCTCAAGTATCAGGGGAATTAAAAGAAAGTAGGAGGCACCAGATGTGAGAGCCTGCCCCCCCCCCCTCCCCCAGAAAAAAATAAGCCATTTCCCACATTTCAGACACAACAAGAGGCCCAAGGGCCTTGAATCGCTCTTCTGATAAACTGTACAACCTAATCACTTCTATATGAAGCCTCTAAGTATCCTGTATATTTAGATAAACCCTTGAAATTCCAATTCACACTCTGAGAACCAGATGATTCTAAGCCAATTAGTACCTGAGAGTTGGTCATGGTGACCTACTTATCACTTGTCATTCTCTGAGGACCCATCAACTAAGTTTGATGACTCTAAGCCAATTAATACCTAAAATATTTTTTTTAGATTATAACCATAAAATTTTATAAGTAGGTCAAAGTGACCTACTTTTCAGTTGTACTCCAAGGACCCAAGATGCATCAACTTACAAAGTTTGATGATTCTAAACCAATTGATACCTGAAATATTTAATTAAAGCCATAAATTTACAAAAGTAGGTCACAGTGACCTACTTTTCAGTTGTTGTACTCCGAGGACCCAAGATACATCGACTGAAAAAGGTTGATGATTCTAATCCAATTACTACCCAAAATATTTAATTAAAGCCTTAAATTTTCAAAAGTAGGTCACAGTGACCTACTTTTCAGTCAACCTACTCCGAGGACTCAAGATGCATCAACTGACAAATTTTGACAATTCTAAGCCAAAAAGTACCCGAAAATATTAAATACAGCCATAAAATTTCAAAGTAGATCACCGTGACCTACTTTTCAGTTGAGGTACTCCAAGGACCCAAGATGCATCAACTGACAAACCTTGATGATTCTAAGCCAATAAGTACCCAAAATATTTAATTAAAGCCATAAAATTTTCAAAAGTAGGTCACAGTGACCTACTTTTCAGTTGTTGTACTCCAAGGACCCAAGATGCATCACTTGGACTAACAAAGTTTGATGATTCTAAGCCAATTAGTACCAGAAATATTCACTTAAAGCCATATAATTTCGAAAGTAGGTCACGGTGACCTACTTTTCAGTTGTTGTACTCCAAGGACCCAAGATGCATCAACTGAACTGACAAAGTTTGATGATTCTAATCCAATTAGTACCTGAAATATTTAATTAAAGCCATATATTTTCGAAAGTAGGTCACGGTGACCTACTTTTTAGTCGACCTACTCCGAAGACCCAGGATGCATCAACTGACAAAGGTTGATGATTCTAATCCAATTAGTACCTGAAATATTTAATTAAAACCATAAATTTTCAAAAGTAGGTCACAGTGACCTACTTTTCAGTCGACCTACTCTGAAGACCCCAGATACATCAACTGACAAAGTTTGATGATTCTAAGCCAATAAGTACCTGAAATATTTAATTATAGTCATATAAATTGAAAAGTAGGTCACCGTGACCTACTTTTCAGTTGACCTTTTTTGAGGACTGACAAAGTTTGATGATCCTAGTCCTTATAGTAAGCAAAATATCAACATTTTAATAAAATGTAATTTTTGGTCAACTTTGAAGTGACCTTGAGACCATGCCCTTTGCCCCTGGGTGATGCCTTGAACAATTTTTAATCTACAACATATCCTCATCCTTTTTTGTAAGTTTGGTGATGATCTGCCCAGTGGTTCTTGAGAAGAAGATTTTTTAGCAACCAGTACTTTTGTTTCTATTTTCCTAATTATCTCCCCTTGTTTAAGGGTCACAACTCTAGTTTTAGTATAAAAGGGAGCCCTTGGGCCAAGGATACCCTGTGACAAATTTGACAATAATTGGCCAAGGGGTTCTTGAGTTATGGTCCATATTCTAAAAAGTTTACGCACACCACACAAATGGCCATAGCATTAGCTCTTTGAGCCTTTGGCTCAGAAGAGCTAAAAATGTAGCAAAAGGATAATGAGTAAAAAAGGAAAAAAAGTTTTTAAGAAGTGATAGTTCTGAACATTTTACCTTCTCATTTTATCGAGGATGCATATCATGAACAGTTAATAATATCTTTGATTTTTTATAGGGAAAATATGAAGGTTTTGGTGGGAGGTATAATGCAATATTGCAACATGTTCTTGCTTTACCTATGCAAGTTTCTGTTACTCCTCAGGTTAAGATCTACTGTACAGCAGGAAATTAACTCACGAATGAGACAGAAAGACTGAATGAGTTACAGATAATAGGCCTTTCAACTGCTGCTAGGGTTCAATGAAAAGAACGATAACCCATTACCGGAACTTGTTTAGAGCGGGTCCGAGGAAGCTAATTGTTTTTGAGGATGTCAAGTTTTAGCATTTCCCAAGTGTTCCTTCACTGTCAGGGAAATCCAGTGGTTTTAAAATTTAGCTCAAATGTTCAACTTAATTATCATGTAGTTATCGACACTTTACAATAATATATAAGTAAAATTTTTGATAAAAATATAAAGTGAAATCCATCCCCCTTCTTAATTTTGACCTGATTAAATTTTTATACTTGATCATTCTTCTTTGTGCTTAGTGAAAAGAATAAGATAATTTATTGTTGCATTTAATTGTAGAAATATTTATCTTTATAGATGAAGCACAACAATGCACAAACAAAAAACATGGCATTATATTTTCTTCTTCATAACAACTGTTAGGGAGAGTTAAAAATCTTGAATATAGTCCGTTCCCCATGCATTGATCCCGTTATTCCAGGAATAGAGTGAAGGCATTCTCCTTGTTTTGGTCAACCCTTTTGTGTACCAAAGAATATAAGGAACCCTTTTGTGTACATAACAATACCAATTGAAGCAGCCTATATGTCATTCCTATAAATGATAACTCAAAAATCGGCACTTTGTTGGTCATGTTTTACATTTGAGTTACCTGTCCTTAAAACACCACATTGTACAAATCAAATATTAATATTTAATTTTTTTATCAATTAATTAAAGGTATGTATAGGTTATAATCTTTTTTGAGAATTTCATGTACCTACAAATATATCTATCAATTGTTTTTTACCATATATATAACTTGAAAAATTAGTTGAAAGGCCTACAGATAATAAAAGAGAATGAGTCAGAGATAGTAAGAGAGAATGAGTCAGATAATAAGAGAGAATGAGTTATAGTAAGAGAGAATGATCGAGTCAGAGATATATAAGACAGAGAGTGTCAGAGATAGTAAGAGAAAATGAGTCAGAGATAGTAAGAGACAATGAGTCAGAGATAGTAAGAGAAAATGAGTCAGAGATAGTAAGAGAGAATGAGTCAGAGATAGTAAGAGAGAATGAGTCAGAGATAGTAAGAGAGAATGAGTCATGTATTTAAGGTCCCATTTTCCACATATATCCTTTCTTTGATCTATTTAACAGAAATGCATGGTTAATCTTTGTCCTTTCATGATTGTTTTTTTCTTATTTGAATTTCCTCCTTCATGCCTATAGAAAAGAGATCTATAGATAGCTCATACATAGATTTGGTTGGGGGAAATTATTTACATTATTCAACTTAAGAGTAACCATTATGAGTTATTTCAGTAAAGAAATAAATATGCATTTTAAGTGCATTTAAGTTTAAAATCTTTGACACAGTGTATTTTGTTAGTATGAGTCAAATAACCAGAAAAAGAGAAAATTGTATGCAATTGTATACTGCCTTTCACAGAAAATTATTAACAGTAAGCTTGTTCATTTCATTCAAATCAATATTATATAACCATAACTCTGGATTTATTTAGGGTTTAGTTTTATGAAAATACACTCAATAAAAGAATCCTCGAGCTTTATGAAAATACACTCAATAGAACGGCTGGCCAGATTTAGTGACATCATAAGCAGGGAGATGTCACACTGGTAATTACCCCCCTCCCCCCATCCCCTCCTTCAATCTCAGCATAAAATGATGTATGGATTTAAAGAAAAAAGGTTGGTCTGGTAAATAAATTCTTGGTCTGCTAAAATATATTTTTTAACCAGTCCTTTCCTGTAAAAATTTCAGATTTTCGCATAGACCGATACTTACATGTGAAGCTGGAGCCAAAGTTCCTATTGGATGAGGATTAACCACACACATAAATCCACGAAAGCCGGGTCGATCACCTGTTTTGTTCTCAAATTTAATGTGCCCTGTAAGTCCAACCATTTCAACCTATGACAAAAATAATAAATTATCAATGTACTGACTCTGTTTTTCTATTTTGCCGCTCTCTGCTTATAAGCACTAATTAATTCATACCCAGATTGGTCATTTGTTGCCTTCGATAAACAATGCCAGCTTGGCAGTGGTTAAAGTGTTTGCTCTAGAGTTACAGGGTAAGGAGTTGATACTTACGTTGCAGGTTTGAATCCCACCGAGGGACATTAAGACCAATTAAATCAAGGTCCCATGTCACAGTGGGTGTTGGCACAAAGGTTAAGTGATTATTTAATTTGAAATTTCAAAATTCCTCCCTAATTTGCTTTGTGGGACAGGTGAAGTCTCAATTTTAGGTTTAAGTTGGTCCTTGATTATAAACTTAATATTTTTTTTTCTTGTTCATTAGACATTATCAAACCCTCACCCCCCACTACTGCAAATAAAATTTTTAAAAAATTAAAAATTTAAAACTTCAAAAAAATCAAAGGCCTGAAGGGCCCGAGAGTCGACTCACTGGAGTTAATTGAGCTTTTTCATACAACTAGACACCATACCTTATATTCAGTTCATATTGCATCTAAGGAGATTGAATATCAGGTCTCTATGTTCGGTTAAAAAATTTAGGACTTCAATGCCATCTCACATGAGATTTTTTTTTATTTATTTAAAGCTGGGTTTGTAAATACACAAATAAGATTACATAATGTAACAAAAATTTCAACATTTTGAATAGAGATCCAAATACATCTGCTTAAAATTGAAAGGGCCTCAATTTACCCCACACCTTCAAAAGTAAAGAAAGATTTAGGGTTTATCTCCCACCTTTTGAAGTCAACTGAATTCTTAAAAAGACTTCACTTCAGTATTTTTTAATTATAATTATCATAAATCTGACTAGATCTCAGTGTTCCATTAAGAAACAAAAAACTACAATAAAGTGAAAAAAGTGGGAGGAGGGAAAGTCATGTTAATAAGGGAGAAAAAGTAACAGGGAAAAAATTTTTAACATATAAACATATGCTACAATCACTAAGAAACAACCTCCAGTAATGGAAAAAAACATTAGACATCAATGAGTAAATTTTTTTAAGAACACCAAACTATATTCATGTATTCACACAATTTTACTTTAAGCATTATGATAATTGATAAGTATGTTTATGTTAAGTAACTTATGATCTAATATTTAAAAAAAAAAAACACAAAAAGCTATTGATCTTTGTTTTACATATCAATTAGGTACATGCATATTTATAAACCAAGACCCAAGTACCTGTAAATAACATCACCATGATTATATTAGAAAATTTTACATTGTTGGCCTATTTATCCTATTTTTTTTTTTTGAAAAGCAGTACTACAAATCTGGATTCTTAAAATAAATTCAAGCATACTAGTTGCAGTGGTCTGTGTCATGGAGTAATTAAGTTAATGGTTCACTCTGCAAAACTGGATTCTAAAAATAGATTTTTCAAGCACACTAGTTGCAGTAAATGAGAGCAGCAGGTGTGTGTTAGGAAGTAATCTAGGTCAATTATAAATAAACTTCAGATGGGAAGTAATCTAGGTCAATTATAAACTTCAGATGGGAAGATTTGATCCACCTAACATGCTTGTACATATATTCATACGCAGTAATTGTAAATTGTACATATATTTAATTGAATTTGTCTTGAAAAAGCATAAAGACATAAATAATATTACAATATGAAATTTTACACTGTTTATACCTCTTAAGTTTATGCAATCACTCAAACCAAAGCATTTTTTGCTAGAACTATCATATTTGGCATATGAATCACCTTGATGAATGAGTGATTATTTTTACAGCTATGATAAAAAAAAAAAGCCTAAATAGCTTTTTTTGATATTCCATTCAATTAGGAAACCCACATTTTTTAAGCCTTATGAGCATAAATAAAAATTAGCAAAATGCACAAGATTTCAAATCAAGGATCATATTCCTAATAAATATGTAGATTTTTAAAAATCTCTAATTTATGAATTAATTCATACAGAGAGGCAGAATGGACAAAATGGTTATATACATTTCTGATTTGGTTGACTAGCTTCTCTGGGGTGATGGTCTCATTCTTGTGCATCAGAGCTGTCAATGCCTCACTGTACACCATCACTGCATCATATGCCAATGCATAAATAGCCAACACCTAAAACAAGTCCAACATATGTTCAATTATAAAATAGCATAGATAATTTAACTTAAAGAGACTTCTTGAATACAATTGGACCTCCGGTCCTATTGGGATTTTTTTTATAAGGGCCACCAAAAAAAAAAAAAAATTTTGAATGTTTTCCAGATATTCCAGGAATTGTAATTCCATCTTCATATATTCTGTTGCAGTTAACTTAATAGCTTCTGGTTTGCATAGGTGTTGTATTTTTATAATGTGTAGCTGGTGATTTAAAAAGGTTTCACAACAGTGAAAAGACAATGTGATGAAAGTGTCAATGAGCCTTAGTAAGAGACAAGATCAACCTGCCTAAGAAACATAAATAATCAGAGATTACAGAGCTCACCTCAACCAATGTTGTCTTTAAGTAAGGCAAAGTCCCAAACTAAACTAACAAAGTAATTCAGAGAATTTGTGTCCCCCGCTTAGGGAAAAAAAGAAGAGCATGTGCAGTTCAGGGGTGGGGGTGGGTGGGGGGGTGGGGGGGAGTTATACGTAATAACTCTCCACATGCCCCTGTGCTAAAAATAGTGAAATGCGACTTTTAATACATGTTAATAATAATACATGTAAATAATAATTAAAAAAACGGGGCAGGACACTTTGAGAGGGGTGAGAGAGGCCCTAGGGAGTTATGAAATAAAATTTCATTGCAAAAGCTCAAAAGCTTCTTGAGATATTTCCCCGTAAAAACATAGGTAATCAAAGATTACGAAGCTCACCTCGACGAATGTTATCTTTAAGTAAGGCAAATTTCACGTCATATTTTTTTTTATTTAGTGTACATCCCAAGATCAATGTCCATGCAAGTTTGGTTTAAGTACGACTTATAGTTACTTGAAAATAGACCTGTCCAAAAAACGTTTATCCTATTAACTAATCAAGAAAATTTTGGTCAGTTCCAACATCCAAAGCAAGTCTTGAAGTTTTCATCCTTAGATGCACCATCTGTTCAAGTTTAATCATAACAGGTCATAATGTTATATAGCTACTCCAAAACAATTATCCTGGTCACTCATCTGGAAAATGTAGGTCAGATTCAGAATCCAAAGCAAGTCTGGAAGTGACCATCCCTAGCTACATCATCCATGCTAAGAGCCAGGTACGTTAGTAGTGAAAATCGGCCCTTCTTTGAAAATTTAAAATAATTATAAAGAAATGAATTGAAGATGTACACTTTATAAATATATCAACAATTTTTATCTAACTTTTGTAGTTTAGTTGCAATAGCCCTCTAAAAATGGAATGTATTTTATTGCATTTAACCGCTTTGAGCACTATGACATCATTATTGCTGTCAATTTAGAACATTTAAATAACAACTTAATTTAATGTATCAATGCATGATATACGTAAAAAATCTTACATTAAAATGTTTACATTGCATAGTTTATTTACTTCAAAGAAAATATTGCTCAAAAAAGAATGTTTTAAAGAATAAATGACCTCCATAGTATCGATATACCTGAATATCATAACTGCAGTCAAAATTGCTTGCATAATGTGCAGTCTGTTTTTTTCCACAAATAAATTTATTTTTTCAGGAATGTTTAAAAAAAAAATAGATAGAGAATGCAAAAAGATCCTTGAAATGAAGCTTTTATTAACAAACAAGAATGGTAAACGAGGAAATATAACTTACTTTAGTATTAATTTTGACCTATTTGCACTAAGGTTCAAATTATATTTTTTTAAATACCGAAAATCGCCCATTTTGAGATTAATCAATGCAATTTTAAAACAGTATTAAATTATTCATGCAAAAGAGATCAATGGGCAGCAAAATAATAAGGAATTATATCACCAGGATGTAATAATAACTCAGGCTCGAAGTATTGGGGGGGGGGGGGGGGCTGTCCCTTTTTTTTTAACATTACATTCTCTATCGAAAATGTCCATTGAAGGGCTAGTAGCTTCCTTCCCCCACTTTTTGTTGCAGGGTTATGTGGTGATGTATGAAAAAAAATGATGTGGAAAAAGTTGAGAAGTTGGACCTCCCTCCCACGAAATGGGATTTTCAAGTTCGACCCCCCCCCCCCCCCCAACGCCTCCGCATTTCAAAACCGATACTACGTGCCTGCAACTTAAGAAATATCTAGTAAAATTCATTGACTTCAGAATCCTGAAATTCTGAGTTACTCCAAGGTTTTGTTTAAAGTAAAAATATATCCTATTGCGCTGAGAAAGGGAGGAAGAAGGGGGGGGGGTGAAAGTAAGCTACTGGTATATCAAAGAACAAAAAAAAAATCAAAGTTGACCCTAAGGTTCCTTGTGAACTGAACGTCAAAGTTAACTTTTTATTTGTCAAAATTCATACATATAGTACAGACTGGATCTAAATTACATATCTTTGAGTCAGAGTCAGGCTCTAGGTGACATGCCTTCATCATTTTCACCAGCCTTTTCTTTAAGTTTACGATGACCTTGCAAATTGATCTTTGAATTTGGAGCACAGACAAAGGTGTCAACTAACAAAGAATAAATTAAAATCATTTTCCTAATTTACCAACAGGGAACTTGCAAAGCCATACAAAACAGCTGATGTAAATTCAAATAATAGTAGTGATAAAATTTAATTTAATTTGTCTAATGGGGAATTCAGACAATACTTTTCTTCCAAAACTTTGTGAAATTTATGATGAAATGCTTTGTCAAATGAGCTAAAAAATATTTTGATTATTCCCAGTAATTTTAACAATCATTAATTATGTCTCTGACGCCGTTTTTACCATATCAACACATAACTTTATGATTGGACGTTGTTCTATTTTCATGGGCATTACTTGTGATTTTTCTGAACATATCCATCATCCCTCCAATAATCGATATTAAAAATATCAGAAAATGAAGATGGTCGACTCATCTCATAAATGACATATTTAATTTTTATTAAGCTTTGACTTGGTTTATAATAAGATAGGTATATTTTTTCAACCCTTCATAAAAAGGTTGTAACATTTCAACCCTTGGCCATACGCACTTATCTGCGACCTTAAAGATGTCTATTTTTTTTTTGTTTTTTTGTTTTTTTTGTTTTTTTGTTTTTTGTTTTGTTTTTTTTTTTGATTTTTTTTTTTTTACAAAAAAGTTATTACGTTGGATTGTCTTAAGTTGGATGCAAAGTACAGCGATAAGGTTACCAGTGTCTCGAAACGCAGGGTTTTTCAAAATGACTGTAAGCATAAGGTCAAACAAACATGACTTTTAATAACGCATCAACCAGCGTCATGTTGAATTCATTCCTCTCGTTGTTTCAGCTTTAGAACCTGACTGTTGATCATTTGGGGACAAACAACAACAAGAAATTAAGATCTGAAAATAATTCTCCTGAGTCTTTATATTGTAACGCTAAAATGTTCAATACCCAAAAGACAATACTAGTATCTTCCTGGAACGTATGTCACCTGAGTTGGTGAAGGGGGATTTCAGAGGCAAGGGTCGGGGGGGGGGGTTACCTTGAAACCCCTGGCCAAGTAGTTCAATTTCCCGATTTTCGAGATTTTAAGTATGATATATAAGCTTATAAAAAGCCTAAGTGCGACCCTCCCCCTACACACACACATGCAACTTATTTTTATACCTCATTATAATTATTCTATACAACGCGTTATCTGATTGGTTCTAAATTGTCCCGTAACGGGCCATAAAACTTCATATTTCCCTGTCATCGTCATGCTTTTCATCATATTTAACCTCCTAGGAAAACCAAGTGTATTTTCTCACAATACTTATAAATCGTTCGTTGACGAAACTCCCGAAAACAGCAGACATCACAAAATTTAAAATAGTAGCATTGAATGCAATGACAAAATTGGCGGTCTTCTTCAATAAGAATACTTCTATTAAAAAAAAAAAAAAAAAAAAAAAAAGCAAAGAAATCTTAATGCGAAGTGTCCAAGGGACTTCGGTTAAGTGTTCCAGTAACTTTTTGAAATTTTGTGTTTATTTTTAAAGGCCTTGCTTGTTTCGGTATATTAAGAATCTATTGCATGAATGTTAAGGAAACATGAAGATTTATTCAACCAAAAAAATTCGTCTAATTTTTCTTCGCTGAATAAATCTTCATATTTTCCTCACGTCATGCAATAATTGTATAGTATCAAATTGTATACATGTATATCTCATAGGAAGATTTTTTTAATTATTAATATTATTTGATTTAGTAAGAATCAATGAATTTTTTGGAGAGTTTTTCCTGTCACAAAAGGGAGGGTGTAAAATAAATGACTTAGAAAAAAATTATAGATATATAAAACAAATTTTAAAGAAATATTCTCAGTATCTTAGAATTTCACAAAAATATATGAAGCTGTCCCATTCATAAGTTTTTATTATAATGAGAATCATGTTAGTCGAATATTATTTTATTAATATTCTCATCTTAACTTCTCTGAAGGAAAACGTAATAGTTATATGTAATTTCCCCATTCTTCTTTCTCCCCCTTGAATTTAACGGCATTGCTTCAGTTTTCAGGGACATAAATAACATATATACTTATGCTTCTACTGTTCTCAATTATCATTTCAATTATTTCTTAGAAGACAAAAAAAAAAAAAAAGTGGTGTATGTTGTTTTTTTTTTTTTGTTTCTAGTTGATGGTATATAAATTTAATTCATTGAAAGATTATCATACTTTAAATATACTAAATATAAGTATGTACTAATTAAGCTTTTGGAGAAAGGGTGTAAGTGCTATAATATTAAAATAATTCATCTGTGCATTGAAACATCTAAACTTTCGAGCATTTTTACAGATAATAAAAAGTCGTTAATTTGAGATTTTTTAATAACTAAAATGAATCATCTGAGTACAGTTTTCTCTTACTATGAGAAATTCTCAATTATTCTTTATCAAAATGTTTGATAAAACAATGTATTGTTTGCAGTAAAATATCGAACGAAAGACTGAAATGTGAAAAAATTTTGGCGCATCACTGTACGTTGTCAATGTAAACAACGAGGACGTCTATATTTA